TAGCAATAAGGACAATGTTATCAAACACCACTCAATAGTAAAGTTCTATTGAAAGTACTGCCTCTAAATAATCAGATATTTTTTATACAAATCGTATAGGCGAGCGCGTTCTATTATTTTGTAGTCAATAGTAATAGCAGAGAGAAAACTAATTTTGTAGCAGCACATTGACAACATTCTGTTTAGTCGATACAAGTAATACGACAATATAATGCATGCATTGATTCAGGGTGTCGCATTAAGAATATTATATCTATGTAATATGGTCAAATACTGAATTTATGCCCACCTCCGAAGCGTATTATCGGTAGAACAATACTGGCACAAGTCACAAAATGTACCTAACGTTAGTTACGACGCTGCCTCATGTAATTAGGACCATATTTATTTTGTAGCTTCTTTTCATCAACATTTTCGGATCCAGTTGTAATATCGGATCCACGTGATAAAGAATAATGCTTCGCAAAGTAATCAAAAACATTTAGTTACGCAAGGCTACAAGACAATGACCAACTTGAACTAATATATGATTCTGATTGGCACTACCGTGGAATCACCTTGGAAGCTAACATTAAATTTAAAGAGTGACAATCGTTTATATATATACTGGCGCATCATCGCCCTATTGTGCTTAGCTTGATTACCCGTGGTGAAGCCTTCGTCAGCCCTTTGTATCATTCCTAGGAATATCGGTCTCTCTCGAAAGTAAACATCATAATGGGAATGCGCTATGCCAGAATTTTTAAATTACGATCTGTTTTAGAAATTTGGATTGTCTATCGGTTAATCTGATACCGTAACGACTTGATTCCACTCGATAATGTGATTTTTCACTTGTAACGATCTTATGGTCAATTAAGACGTCTTGCGACCCCAAGAAAATTTAAGTAAGAATTGTAGCTTGATATTTTCGTTCATATCTGACCAAAATAACTTGTAAGCTATGATTCCCATCACAATGGGTTTTTACATACTTGACACAATATTTTGGCTTCTAAACTCTTCTCTCGATCCTAATATTTGAGATAGGTCTCGCGATGTCCCGCGTCAGCGAGATCGACCTGACTGTCGTGGTCGTCAAGTACTTCTACCGGCGTAGAATCCGCAGTTCTGCGTTGTTTTCATATCTCTCGCTTGCTCTGAAGAAGTTAATAAATGTGTCGGATATACGTGAACGCTGTGTAGCAGCTTATTGCATAATAATGTGCCTGTGATTATGCTCTCGGTATTCTGCGGAACACTGCCTTAGCTTAAATTAGATCCAGAATTATCATCCGTATTGTAGAAGTGTTTGCAAAGACCGCTTCTTTAAGCCACATGTCAAACAATCGAATCTCGAATCTCATTATCGACGCCGATAACAAATAGTGCCTATATTTGGGTATGTAACTTACAATGGTGCCCCATTTTATATTGTGTCTGATCCAATTTACGGCAACAATTACGATATACGTATGGCCCATTTATTTCGATGCAAAAGATACTATATACAGTTATTATTAGGTACATCCGTTATCAACAAAACATTTCTTCATTTACGTCTCTTTTTCGATAGGAAGCGTGACCGGTCTAATACCTTCACAGCTATGTAAGAGGTTAAGTAGACACTTTGGCGTGTAACCTCTATTCGGGTGACACTGTATTGCGGATATATCATTCTAGAATAAGCATTTAGATGGTAGTTGTATGCGCAAACATTTTTTCTGAAATCTACGAAGCATAGATATATGTCTATCGACATATCTATACCATATGTGATCGATCCCTAAGCTTCTTGTCAATTTCAATACCACCAGATTGGTCATATGTAACCAAGATTCTATAATATCATATTCAAGTGAAAGATCACAGTGTCATTGAGAATGTTATCGGAACGTAGTTATGCCACAGTCGTATCCCGACATTTTAGCCATTGTTTTACTCTTAATGGGTCCCAGAGGGTTATGGTGATTTAAAACGAGTACGACTCCATCAATAATCGATCATTACTATTCCGGGGTCGGGAGGACCTGTCTGTTATGACCCATACATCTTATTCGATGAGGTAAACACTGACCTAATAAATGTAGCAGATCGACTGATCCAGTACATCGTCGTAGGTAGACGTGTTGAACCTGAGATATTCAAAAATTCACATGATTTCAGACCTCATCTTTGTAGGAACATTCGGTTTTGAATAGGTCTACAAATCAGACCAAGTGGATTTGACCATATGTATCAGCATCAATCACCGGGGTTTATGTTGGCAAAATTTATAATGTTACACTCTGCCACATTAATGCCTTCAATTGTATGTTAAGAAGTAGGCTACGTATGCTGCAAGTGCATAGCAATAGTCGTGCACGGCTAATAATTGTGTAATGTAAGCTCGAAAATCAATCATCGCTTTCAAATAATATATATCTGTAAAATTGTTTATGGACAGACTATTGATGAAATCCTGGACAAATGGGTTTAAAATATCACATCTGTTACACATTCTGTTTGAACCAGTAAAAAACCTAATTGCATTTATCGGATGGTCATATTTGGGTACGTCGTTTGCACCGGGTATATAATGTTTATTGCGAATAATGTTAGATAATCGACTTTGGCAAACGAGTGGCTGAGCAATGGCTGTAGAGATATGGTGCTCGATTGACATCCGCTACTTGTGCTACGATATCTAATCGACGAAGATAGTCCAATATAGCAGACTAGAAAACCAAAATGGGTGGCCGCCTCGCGTGGATGGATACCATATTTGCCAAAGGGTGACAAAGCATAAGATATATAGGTCCACGCGCAGGTAAAATGTCCCTTGTACTCGAAAGCTAAATTCAGGCGGTCCATGGACCCACGCGTTGTAAATATCTGATCCTAATAATGCTAGTAAAATATTTACTAGCATTTGTCAGTCATTGTCGAGTCATTGAATTTTTGTCAAAAGGAGATGGATGAACGTGATCATTTGCCGCAACACCATTTTGAACGCGTGTCTCGACTATCGTAGTATATGAATAGTGGCGTTGAGAACGTAAACCATATTATTCAGTATTAGTGAGACTAAGACAGACATCATAATGCACTTGGAATGCAGCCAGTCTCTATCTTCTATATGCAAGTATCCTGTCAACGTTGACGGTGTAAATGAACCTACTTTCTGTCAACGAGATTAGCAAAAGAAAATTTTGATAATTCATCAAGCGAAATTTTTTAATGCATCACTAAAAAGCAACGCACGATAGTTGAACTCTATGACCTATGGATATATTTTTGTATTAGTGATTGTCATTCTTCGAAACCGTAAAAGTGCGTAATTATCTGATATAGATATTCATGGTTGCTGGATGTCGCGCAATCCATCTAATATTCCTAATAGTTCCGGGGCAATTAATCTTCGACAACAAAAATCATTGAAGTATATTCGTCAGGTAATATATTTTAAGACAATGCTTATATCATCAACGTCGACATTGTAATTTAGTAGCTTTGTCTCCAAGCAATCCCAAGGAGGTACCAGAATCCAGAGCTAAAAAGCTATTGTTCATATATGGTGAAAGCATCGGCAAGCAAAGCAATGATTTTCGGATAGTTTACATGAATTTTAAAGGAATATAAGCCTACTCGTAGGTATGGATTCATAATCGATAGTTGCAAGCAAAAAGACCCTTGTCGTTGTTCCCACACATTTGGATCTGCAAATGCAGACTAAAATTAAGTGTTTTGAGACGTTTTTACGTCAGCATCATGGCCATGAGAAAAATCACGTCATCGTCTGTCAGATAATCGGTTGAAAGTAGCGTAATTTAATCTTAAGTGCGTGTGTGTTTCTAGTTGTGTCGACAATTGATGCTTAGCGAAACCTCAAAACATCACTACATCCTATATTAACTATTGCAAATTTTACCACCATATATGGCACATAAACTCCATCGTCGATTACGTTTTTTCTGGTCACAATGATACGCGTACGTTCAGCAAATAATTCGGTTCTGTAAAATGATACAGCTTAAAAATGCATAACTCATGCGGCTGAAAGCATAATAAAGACACAAATTATAGGACCTGTAACCATTTGCGTCATCAAGACTGTACATTTTGGTAATTAATATCAAAATCGTATGGCTGGGCTTGTGTCATCATGATCAGCGTTTGATATTTAGGGCTTTGGCCATTATGCCGTGCAGGTATATATGACTCATCATCGCGCTTTACTACAGCATTGTGGCAGTCTGACTTACCTTTTTTGTCAATTCGTAATACCATAATCTGACCAGGAGAGAATTGTACATACTCTGCGTTATAGATGCGCTTATACATCTATATAGGCTTCACGGTTCGTCCATTCCCGTCAAGCGTTAAGAAATTCTTGCTGGTATCGTAATTATTAGGTACAGTTTCGTGTAAGAGCCCTACTAGATCTTCATTAATCCTCGGAAACGAACTATGTGTCAATGTAAGTCTAAACATGCGAGTGCATTTTGTGCTCTAAGGTTTTTCAACTGTATCATCTAAAAGAGCCATACTTTGTTAAGTGTCGCCGACTAGTATCTCCGAAAGATATGTTTGTGCATTGGAAGCCGCGTTCATGTGCGTGTCCGCAACATCGTGTGCTGAGATGGTATTCATGTTGGCGTTGAGACTCTTGCTTTAGATGAACGACTAAGTCACCTTGTTACAATTGAAGCTGCTTAACCAGCAGCGTCCTGGTTCTCATCTTTCTTGGGATCCAATATTTTGTCGAATGGGCATCAGGTATTTGATTGGCGTCTTACTTATCTGCCCGCCGATATGGAACCGCTCATAGTCGTATTTAAAGCATTAACCGTCGCTGCAAAGCTGATTGTAGTCAGCGATGACCGACCTAAAATTTACAATTAGCTGCCGCTGACCGATAGCTGATCCGGTCAAAACTAATAGGTTTCATGGAGATGTCAACACATACGTATATTAAAGTGAAATGGTCACGTTAGCGTATTTCTACATTTCACATAGCTAAGATGCAAGTCGTCCCCCAACTATCGATGGCTTGCCCGCGAACTTCGATACACCTGCCGACTCATTGATGAAAGCAACTGATAGGGTAAGAGCAGTAGCGCATCCTTCCCACTCTCGATGAATATCTTGTAACACAAATACTTCGTGTACGCCGGCCCATTACGGTAAAGAATCTCGCGAGTGACTTCGCCGCCAACATACTGATTCACGATCAACGGGTCCAAATCGAATCGTTTTTGGTAGCCCTCCACCGTAACACCCATTGCCTCCAGGTCCTCGAATTCCCTCAGGTACGTCTTGATCTCCCTTACCAACGCATCGATCATCCGACGAACAGCTTCAACCTTCACGTTTGCCATGCTACTTTGTCGATAAGCTATGTCCGCTTTCCGCACAGCCTTGTCTTTTTTCCAAGCGTTCATCTTGATCTTCCAAGCCTGTGATCGTTTCCTGTAGGCAACCGGGTCCTTTGCCCAGGCAGCTCCAGGTAACCTCTTGCTCTTTGATGCTGCGTTGAACTTATTCCAAGCTGCTTGACGCTTTTTTCGGGCTGCTCTCTTCTTCCCCCACACTTCATGCAGTTTACGATAGGTGGCCTCCGCCTTCGCACAGTCAGCCTCATACTCCACCCAAGCATCATCCTCTGCCCTTATAGCATCGTCGAGATCCATCCTCCAGTCAGCCACCGATTTACTCAAGCCACTATTCTTGTCTCTCCAGGCTGTCGCATAATTCTCCCAGGCACGTTCAGCATCGGATGCTGCATTGATCAGTAGCTCCCTCCAGGGAATCCCCTCCTCTATCTGTGGAATCCAGCTTTCACTCCCGCTCGCAAGGGCTCCAATCGTTTCTGCTGACGATTCGAAAGAATGCAGCATTCTCTCATCACTGGCAGCATTAGTCGTTCCTTCGGTTGATCGAAATGCCAACGTGCCGGTCACGTTAGACTCAATTACTTGATCTTGATCCGAGGATGCAAAGTCGGGTCGTATGCCGGCCGTGTGATCCAGCAAAGCGTCGCCGCTAGCAACGACGACAGGCGTGAGCACAAGAAGGAAGAAGCTTCTCGTCATTGGAGCTTTCCGTAAACGAGTCGTGGCGAGAATGGGGCCGGACAAATAGTAGGGAACCAAGCAAATTGGGAAGTGAGTGGGTGTTAAAAATCAATGGACGGAGGTTCGTGTCACCACGAGCAGAGTCTTTGCACACCAGTTGCGCTGTCTGGCGGAGATAAAGTGCTGGACCAGATAACCCAATTTGTTACATGATTTAAGGGCGCGGAGTTGGGGAGAGGCGAGACGGCAGCAATAAAACAGACAGAGGCAGCAAGTGAGGCGGCAAGTGTGTTAAATATACACTTCTGACCCTTTTGTATCCAACATATATCTACTTACTAAATAGCTACCAGCTTCCACCGTGCCTCTATTGAATCGTCTTGTTTTGCAGCTTTAATTACGTCTGGCATTGTACTGTAGAAGGATCGATATAAACAGCTGGCGAGACGCCTTCGAGAACTCGCGCGGGTGAAGGCGGTGGGCCCATTCCAAACAATTCTGCGCTCATCATCGGCTGTCGCTGATGTTGCTGCTGTAGCGGTGCCATTAGCTGCGGCAAGTAAGGCTTAAGTGGCGGTTCGTGCTGCATAAGCAGCTGCATGTGACAAGTTTGGGTACTTTTTCTACGTACGAGCTGCTGCATTGGCCTCTCTTGCGTGATCTGTACGCATAAGTAGCCGGTGCAGATAGAGAAAGACTATCCCTGGTGCCGTTGCTAAGCGCCATTTGATTGGCTGAACGGTCACGAGTTGATACTGTCCAATCCGAAGACTGTGTGGAATGGGTGGTGGTAAATGAGTCAATGCACAGCACCTGTATAATTAAATCATCACGTACCTTTTCTTTCATTGTTGATGCCTGCAGAAGGTGAATCGTCCAACAACGAAAAGAACATCCGCAATAGCGTAGGTACCATAAAATCAATCCCGATGATACCGCTGAGAACACATAGAACGCCATGCATTTGATGTCATAAAATCCACGACCTCGCTTCTAGCCCATGGCGGGTCTCGCTTTTCCAAGTACTTAATCCCAACTATCAATGTCACTAATGTATACAACTAGCACTATTTGTAGCTGTGGATTTACTGGAAACAAAAAAACGTCAGCTTGGATTCACGCATATTCACATGACCAAATCGAACATAACGGTGTAATTTTTCGATCACAAGCATCGAGGGACGCGCGCACCGCTAGCTCAGCACGGGTCTGACACAACAAAAAAATTGAGGCGCCGGAGTAGAATCTTTCGGCGAACTGTGCTACAAAAAGCCCATGCTGATGTTATGCAGCGTCTGTTTGGCTGACTAAACGCGGCGTCGCGTACACCACTTCCAAACGTGTTGTAAGCAGAGACACGATGTACTCGAGCCGTGTACACCCAATTCGTCTACAATACTACTTTAATGCTGCTACGATTGATTATTAACACCTGGAACAGGTAGTCGGGCAGCAGCTTCAATGTATCGCCATCGAAAGAGCTGCTACTACGTAGTATTCCGTGCTTCTCGAGTGTTTCGTTGCGAACTAATGGAAACACGAATAAGAACGGCCACTATTGACTGGCGTGCCGAAAGGGTGATTCCCCGGGCGTGATTAAATGAATGAAAGATTTAGTTCTATGCTTTTACTTAAACTGTAACGGGGCAGCCCGTTACATGGAAGTGTCACTTTAAAAGAAAGTGACAACAAAGAATATTAAGTGAATATTCTTCGAACAATATCACCGATAATGGTGATATTGGTGAAGCGACCAAAGGATCTGCTCATTGGTTGATATCGTGATGATATCAACCCACCACTCGCCACAGGACGCGCGCAATGAGTGGTGACGAGACGTCACCATACACTCAGTTATATTGACATAATAAAGTTAAGTCAAACAGAGAGACAGTAGTTAAAAGACTTAATTGTAATTAATATAACAGTTCTGCTTTCTCCTTATCCTACGCTTCCTCGTCGCCTCGTGTACGTCTGTCGGGGCACCGATACCCTTGCGTTAAGTTCACGCAAGGGTATGCCCCGTTACACCTGGTAGCACTTTGTAGTCCTTCCAAGGACCACAACATCCAACATGAACATGTTGGATGATAAAGGGACCTTTAACGCCACGAGTGAAGGGTTTACCCATTTGAGTGACATCGAATGGGGTGCGGTAGAATGAATGAGTTCTACCGTAGGCGAGTTCGCCATTAGCGCCATGTTGGAGTCTCTAGACAGAGACCAACAACATGCCGCGCTATCGCCAAGTTCATCCAAAGTAAACTTGTCGCCGAAAGGAAGAAAGTATCCTTGCTCCACCAGCAAGGCTCTCAACAGGCCGAGCAGTTGAGAGAACTCGGTGTTCATCAGACAGAGCTGTTGAGACAGCAGCAATCCCATGCTGCTGTGGGCGGGAAGGCGCATGCGCGTCGTCCCGAGGTCATGAAGGTTGACATCTCCAAGTACAGTGGAGTGTCGAAGGACTCCCTGTTACGATGGTTTGTCGAGCTCGACAGAGCTTTAAGGGCTCGTCGCGTCGAAGATGAGCAAATGAAACTCACATTCGCTCAGACCCAATTGGCAGGTCGTGCCAAAACCTTGGTCCCTGGGACTCGAGAGTAGCGACCCACATGTGTTTAGGTCGCTAGATGACTTCAAGTACCGGCTCAGACAAACGTTTGAGCTACCACGAGCTGATTTCAGGGATCGTTCTGAGCTTCTGAAACTCAAGCAGGGTAAGCGATATGTGCACGCTTACGCACAACATATACGACTCCTAGCGAGTAGTATAACTTCTAACCCAGTTCATGAATACACGTTGATTTTGGTGTTCATGCAAGGGCTCGCAGAAGGGCCCGTCAGGAGCCACCCATTCCGCCTTGAGCTGAATACGCTTGAAGAAGCGATATCAGCCGCGGAACAGGAAGACTTTAGCATGAGACAGGCTCATGCTAGCTCAAACTCTTACCATCCACCGAGACGACAAGAGATGGGAGGTCCAGAACCAATGGACCTCTGATATGTTGAGAGCGAGAGACCTCGCTCTTCAAATAACAAGCGATTGCTGAAGTGCAATCGCTGTCAGAAGTTAGGGCACTTCGCACATGAGTGTAGTGCTTCACGCCCAGTACCAAGCAGTATTGAGCGAAATGGACGACCATTCGCCAAGAAGGGAAATGGGCGTGGTTCCAGCGCTGTTGCGAAGCCGCAACAGCGAGACGGACCATCAAAAAATGGTCGGGGTCAGTAGGGGCGGAGCGCCCTACTGATCCAGCAATCTCAAGAGAATTTGCAAATCTCTTGACGAAAGTTGCTCCAGGTACACAATCAGTGTGTGTCTCTGCACCTGTTGATGACGTTTCGCTCATCACCTTGAAGTTGGAAGCGACAAATGGTTTGTCGCTTCGTGCCCTAGTAGACTGTGGGGCGTCGAACAACTTTGTTCGTCGCCAGTCACTAGAGGGTGGTAGGCTCAAGTTTGTTGAGCGCGACATTCCCCTCACGAGGATGACGGTGCGCCTTGCAACAGGCGCATCGATAACCGTTGAGAAACGTGTAGTAGGAATCTACTACACGTTGGAGGACGAACAGTAAGATGATGACTTCATCGTACTGGATCTGGATGACAAATTTGATGTCATCCTGGGATTACCTTGGCTCAGAAAGTACGAGCCAAGGGTGAGCTGGCAGCATCGATCCGTGAAGATGCCTGCTGCTCGTTCATCAGATGGCCATCAGATGAACATCTTGGAGCGTCCACAAGCGTGTGGATGTTCTGCGAGTGAGTGCGATGGCCTCACTTGCGGTTCGGTCGTTAGCATGACTGGACAAGATCACATTGTAGTTGATCACTACACTGTGGAGCAAGCTCCCGGCGGCTGTACAGAAGTACAGGCTACGCCGAAGGTCCACCACTTGATTAAGTCGAGTGGACCGGGACATGAATGCATGCCTAGCGGGCAGAATCTTAGAAGTAAAAAACCTGTTGCCTCCAAAGGGCAACATGGAAATCCTAGTTCGACTGGAGAGTCGACCGTAGAGTATCGGTCCCTGACTGTGGTTGCACAGCCACAGTCAGAAGACGTCGAGGGAATAAGTCCCCACGTACTTGAGAGAGGAATTTCTCAAGAGTAGCTTGCTGAAGGATTAGGCCTTCAGCAACCTGTGGAAACAAGTTCCCAGGAAGTAACCGAAACGTTGAACGTCTTGGTTAATGACGGATCAAGCGTAGGCGCTTATACGCTTGATCTGATTGTGCCTCCTAAGATAACTTCGGAGATAACTCAGTTGCCAACGCTAGAACCGAAACGGTTCTTGCGTGATCTGCGTAGTGGCAAAGTCAAGCAGATCTGCATACTCGTCACAGAGGATAAGTATGTGGCCGATATTCGGTCGGCCACAGTATTTGCTGAGAACGAACGGGTTCTCAGCAGCTCATCGATGGACGAAAGTGTCCTCGATGAGAAGACTCGGATTGAGCGATACGCGTCCCAATTCTGGGAGTCACTTCAGGGCAAATACTTTGTATAAGGATTTGATCGAATTCAAGGATGTGTTCCCTGAATCCGTACCGTGCGAGTTGCCTAAGGACAAAGGCACTCGACACGAGATCGAGCTCAGACCGGGCTCGAAGTATTGTGTCATGAAGCAGTGGCCACCGCCTCGTGAACAAGTACTAGCGATCGACAAGTTCTTTGCCGATCGCTTAGCAGCGAGCCATGTGAGGAAATCGACATCCCCTCACAGCTCTCCGACCTTCTGTGTGCGAAAGGCCACAGGAGGGTGTCGGATAGTGCACGCATTCAACAAATTGAATGCTGCAACGGTACCGGCTCAGACACCGATACCGAGGAAGGACGTAATCGTAGATGGTATGTCAAAGAGTACCATCTTTTCGTCCATGGATCTGATGGATGGATTTTATCAGATCCTCATGCGTGAACAGGACATCCCGTTCACGGCAGTGAGTACCCCCAGCGGGATGCGTGGGAGTAGCTAGTTATGCCACAGGGGCTGAGCAATGCCCCTGCAACATT